ACCAACACCTCCAATTTCAATTCAACACAACAAGGTTCATTCTAGCTCTTCCTTACATTATTTCTGTGACTCCTATCTCCATCAGTAAGAAAGCTGACTTGAATCCATATTTTTTCAATATATTTTCAATATATTTAATACCTGCCCCCACCTCAGGTAACAAATCTTCTGATCCTGCCAGGTAACTGCCCACTCAGCCCCTTTCTTTAATCGTGCTCCAATACCTTCCATGTGAACTCCCAACTTAGCTGTCCTTATTGTATGGGCCTTAGCTGTTCTCTTTGTATGGTTCATGACTTTTTAACTGAATTACCAACAAAATAAAGGGAAGAAAGCCTTTGTTATTTTTGTAGTCTCATATTTCCATTGATCATATTCTCTTAAAAGAGGACCATAAGCATTAAAATATTATTTCTTTTGTGTGTGTGTGATGCAGTCTTGTTCTGTCACCCAGGCTGGAGTGCAATGGCATGATCTTGGCTCACCAATTCCCAGGTTCAAGCAATTCTCCTGCCTCAGCCTCCTGAGTGGCCGAGATTATAGGTGTGTACTAACATGCCCAACTAATTTTTGTCTTTTTAGTAGAGATGTGCTTTCGCTGTGTTGGCCAGGCAGTCTTGAACTCCTGACCTCAAGTGAATCCACCTGCCTCAGTCTCCCAAAGTTCTGGGATTACAGGTATGAGTCACCATGCCTGGCCCAAATATTATTTCTTTTTTCAAATTTATTGATGACATATTGGTATACATACATATTATTATTTCTAAGGTTATATAGAGTTATTTACTGAGTTGAATTTTGAGTCACTTTATTGAGCTATTTAAAAGCTATGTGAAAATAAAATACATTAAGGAAGAAAAAATGGGCTAATTATAGGAACATGTTAATTTTCAAAAAAACTGTTTTCAAGTAAATCAATGACAAAACTTGGTTTCTAAGCAAAATTTTATAAAACTGAACTGCTTTGTCTTCTGCCTCCTCTAAATGCTCTAAGATTATAAAGATTAATACAAATTTTGATATAGGAATTCTTCATAACTTTGAGCACCTGACGATCATTACTCCAAAATATATATATATACAATATTTAAGTTGAACATAAGTACCAAGCTTATATTTTATTACTTCTCTAATAAAAGCATATTCCTAATCATTTTTATTAAAATGACATTTTTGCTTTTACTAATGACAAATTATTTTTAAACACTAAAATATCTTTCCGGAGGGGAATTTTACCTCTGGCCATAAGTAAGTAATGAGTAGCCTTCTTATCCCCCAAACAATTGCCCTAAATAATCATAAGCCTGGCCAAATTAGAGAAGGTATTTGTTTTCAGGTATTAAGCAACAGGTGGCCCAAAGCTGTGATCCTTATGAGATGGGGAACAATCAAAGGAGATCTTTATGTACACTGCAGCTCTCTGATAAGAGCAAGGGGCACTTTTTAGATATGATCAGGGAGGTCAATAAAGTGAAATAATGGGCTTGCTAAGGGTTGGCAGCTAATTGGAGCTCAGGGTTGCATACACGGCTGGAAAATGTGCAGCAGGGTACCAGAGAAGAGCAAGCTGGGCAACAGCAAAATATGCAAGTGATGCAGGCTTTGACTATGAGATCAATGAGTCCACTTCATAACATATATGCCAAATCAGTTAATGCAAATTTACATCATGTGAGTAGAAGTACTTTGAGCTGAACAGAGAAGGTGATAGAGTGATTTCATTCTATTTTGAGTGGGTCATAACATACTTAGAGAAATGTAGTGATTTTGGTTTGTTACATTTTAAGTACACAGACTTAATAATTCTATGGTGATTTTATGAAGATTCCCACTATTTGACTTTTTAATAATTTAAGATTTCACACTCTTGTGAATGTGATCAGGCCTGAAGCAAAATATATGACTGCCCTGAGCATCCTTCCAATCAATAATCTTCAACTAATTATTCTATTTACTTAATGGGAATGGCAGAAACTAAAAAGTTTGCATTTCTTTATATAAAATGTGTATGTGTATACACACATGGAATATATATACATTTCACTATATATATAATATTCTTATATATTACAAATATGTATCTTCAAAGATGTAAACTCCTACATCTTACAAAATTACAAAGAGTTTGTGAAATGTCTTTTTCGTCTTACAACTTCATGTTATCTAATCAGAACATCATTACCCAGAATTCTAATGCAGTGATTTTTAGGTACAGTTTAGCAATGCTTCAAAACATCTTTGATGAAATTTAAAAGTAGTACAAATTTATTCTCCTGAGTCAGCTGAAAACAAAATTAATTTCAATTTAAAATTATTTTTGGAACACCATACTGCATCTTTCATACACATCTCAAATCATAAAATATTAGCAATAAACAAATTAAGTAAGAAATAAACTAAGTAACCAAACTAGGTAAATAAGCTCTAGAGGTTAAAAAAAAAAAAAAAAGGATACAAGTATTCTCAATACCAGGGAATAGGTTAGTTACCTTTTGCTTTTGTTTTAAATGACATTCATGGATTATCTTTAAAGTATCTCACGCCAATTAATTTTTCTTAAAACCTTCCTAACTTAAACTATCCACAAGGGGGACATATTGTCAGATACTGCATATTTTCCAAACTGAAAGAAGCCTGTGTCAACTCCACTGACTCAACACAACAGAGCATAGACGACAAGACATGGAATTGCCTATTTCTATTTGTGAATGGTCAAAAGAGATTTTAGCTTAGTTTCTCAAAATGTGGCCCAGAAATTAAAATTGTAGCAAACATCTGTGCTGACTCTTAATATGTTCAGATTGCTGGGCGCCTCCTCTGACCCTTATCAATTCTTATGAAAACTATTATTGAGTAAGGCCCTAGGAGAGAATGGTCTCTAGATCAACAATGTCCATTTCACAGGTGACATTTCTTCACTGTTTTTTTTTTTTAACATGAAACAAGATAAGCTACATGCTAGTAAAATCTTCCAATTTTGTGAAATACATATAATTGTACTCTCAAAGTCAAGCTGTATCATGATCAAAATTGTTGCATAAGGAACTGTGTTATATCCAGCTTTTAGTGAAAGAAAATTTGTTATCCAGTTTTCTCACTTCGATTATTTAAAGTGGACAGCAAACCTTAGAAGTGCACTACTCATCACTACAATCCAAGCTAATGCAGGTGTATGGTAATATGTATTCATTAAAACACGAAGCATGGTGGTGCTTGCGTTCTGGTGAGGAAACCTAAAGCTTTTATGAGACATGTTCCTATCACTTAAAATGCTTCTGTGCGTAACATGATGGTGAGCATTAAAAGGTAGGGGCTGGGGGGCACTTGACAAATATCCATTTGGGTTTATTTTCTAATTATGTACAAAGTTTACATATATTCCTAATTTTACTATTATCACTTGGAAAGAATCTTGGAGATTTTAAAATAACAAATGAAAACAGTATTCATTGAAAATTATTTATTATCCCAAGCCACTTGTACTTTATACTCTAGGAGGGTAGAAAGCAAACACACTGTACAGTATTCATTTTATGATTCTTTCAATGCAATTAATACAATGCGTCGCAGAAGATTTTATGTTTCTGCCTTTTAAAAAATTATAATAGGATATGTATAATCAATAATCATTAAACTAAAGACAAAGAAATCTGGTAGTTCCGCCAATTTTATTTCGTTCTTGCATGGATTGCCTTTGTTAACATTTTTGGCAGAAAAAAGAATCAATGCAATTGTAGGACTCTGCACCCCACAATGCGAGCTTCAATTGAAACAATGGTCGTATTGTGCAAGACAGATTATCGTTAAAGTTAGGCAGAAAAACTTAGCAGATCTTGCAAATCTTGTTAGGTGAAACCTGTCCTCCCAAAAGACCTATTGGACCACACCTTTGTCCTCCTCGCCCTTTTTTTTGCAGCCTCATTAACTCGCATTATTTTTGTTGTTGTTCTTCGCAGTTCTCACTTGCTTCTCTTCAGCCTCTGCGCGGTTTTCCGCGATCTCCAGTGCACCCTCCTCCACTTGCCGCGATTCCGTCTCTCTCAGACGCTGACACGTAACCTCCCCCATCCCCACCCCCAGCCCCAGCCCTCACCCCCAACCAAGAACAGCTACAACTGCTTCTGGGAGATGTGAGGGGCGGGGGCCAGGCAGGAGCACCTCGACCCCACACGCCTCACCCCTACCCAGCGCCCTGGCAACCCGCGGGACACTTTGCTGGTGCCAGGTTTCAATCTCTTGCTCTCATTTTCTCTTGTCCTCGCGCTCTTTCTTCTGTATTTTTGTCATCAATTCTTTAATGGCGAGAAAAAAAGAAGCTCAGAGCTATAGTCTCCGTCCATGAATACCCGTGTGCTTTTTCAGAACCTTTCTCCGTCCCTTTCTCCTGCTAGCACATGTGGGGTCTGCAGTGCAAAGGACTCTCCTTTCGTCCAGTGACCAATGGCAGTCTCCCAGTTTGCCAATTTCATTCAACACCCTGCACCTACTGAAGCCTACTCCTCACCAGTTCAGCTTTTTTCCAGTTAATCGTATTAACTGGTAAGAACCTCCTCCACCTTTTCGGGTTCTATTACCGCCCTCATTAAACAGAAAGAAAATCCAACAAGCAAGATAGCATGAATTCAGAAACAAAGTGTGTGTGTGCAACATAGTCTGAGTGTGTGCATCCGTTTGCATTGCCTGCCTCAGCCTGCCCGGGTCCTGAACATGTGGCTGAGAGGTGCAGGACAGTCAGAGGGCTCAAACTTCCCCTGCCAGGCTGAGGCTGGGCCCTCCCGAGCTCACCTGTCCGCGTTCAGGTAACTGGCTAAGTGGCCCGGCCGCGTTCCAGGACACCTGGCCCGGAGAGAGCAAATGCCAGCGAACCCCAGGGCGCGCTCTCCCGCGCGTTCGTTCTCTATCCCTCCTTCCCTGGGAGGGGTGGGGGCAGGTGTTCTGTTTTTATTACTGCACCCCTTCCCCTAAAGACGACGGGACCACCCTCCTCCACAGCGCCTTACCTCAAACAGGGGACCGATCTTGTTCTTCTCCAGGTAAGCCTGGATCCGGGTTTGCGGATGAGACGCCATGGGGAACAGATGGGACCGCGGAGGGAGTGCGGGGAGACCGCGCGGCCGTGCGCCTCCGCTGGGGACAACCCTCCTTTTCCCCGGACTGGGGCCAGGACAGGAGCTCCGGAGCCTCGGCTGCCCTGCGTGGCTGGCTCGGCCCCCGCCGTGGGCGTGGGTGGCAGCCCGGGGAGCCACGCGCGCGTGGGGCGCTGAGAGCCGGAAGCCTGGGCGCAGCGCCGCCAACTCAGACAACTCCGAGGCGAGGGGAGAACTCATTCATCGCGTTCTCCGCCTCGTGCCCACCCTCGCCGGTCTCCGCAGCGCCCCGCGCCGTGAGAGAAATTCGAGGCAGAGGTTCCTTTCTCCTCTGGGCGGCAGCAGCAGGGATCTGGGGGCGGGGAGCGAGCCGCGCCGAGGGGTGCACGCGGGCGGACCGGGGCCGCGGGGCTCGAACTAGCCGCCCGCGTGTGTGCCTGTGTGTGTCCGTCCGTGCGCGCGCGACTGTGTGTGCCTCCTCGCCCAGGTGACGGGAATAAACAGCTCGGGCTTCTCCCCGAGGCTGCTCGCTCTTCCAGCCGCTCCCTAGCGACAGCGCCGCTTAAAAAGCCAATGGTGAAGGTGCTTCTTTCAAAGTGCACATAAATCTGGTGCTTGTTGGCTACTCCTTGGCAGCTACAAATGCAGTTCGAAAGGGGATCGTCCCCATGTCCCCACCGCCCCTCCTGAGCCTCTCCTCAGCGCCTTCCGCCCTGCCTACACTAGCTCAGGGGTTGGGAAGGGCAGAGTTGTGAGAAGGTGCGTGGGTCAAAGGGTTTGCGGCGAAAAAGAAGTTGCCTTCCTTTTCAAAATCTGGTTTGGCCTGGAGCAAGTCGACAGGTGAAACCAGGCTGAGAACTCAGCTGAAAACTCCCCAAGTGCAGACGCTCAAACACTGAAAGCAGACCTTCAGCATTTGACAGGGCGAAGACTTCCCCTTCAAAGTTGGCCTTCCTAATCCGCGCCTTGAGTTATGTTTGTATACCTATAACCGCATCTCAGACGCTACGCTATCCCGCTTAACAGTATTTCCTCTAGATGCTGCGTGAGCTGCTCAAATTTAGCCAATACCTTTCTTAATATGCAGGGATTTCCGAGTCGAAGATTTGCAGATAACCCATGTTTCCTCATAGAGCTCTCTTGTGAAATAAAATACTAAGGCCCACATGACGATTTCCCTGGCTTCTAACCATGATATGCTGCCAAAATTAAATTTATTTTTAATAAATATGAATATTCAGAATGATGGAAATAGTTTTCCTAAAAGCTGACTGCAGCAGTATATACTTTTTCTTTCTTCCCTGTGTTCTGGATTTCTATTACTCATAATTTCTTTACTGGTGTTCATGCTTTCCTTCTGTATTTTAAATATGTGGAAACATGTAATAGATAAGAGTGGAATATCCCAGGAACGATTGTTAATTTCATGTATTAAGACATAAGAAATCTGCTAGAATAGCTAGGAGCTTAACTATCCCTGGTAACCTGAAATGGACATGATCCTGGGTGGAAAGATCTCCACCTTAATACTTTGACAATTGGAGTCATGATCTGCCTAGGGAGAGTTAAACAGCAGTGAGGCGCCCTGGGTTGCCTCGTGCTTTACATTGTGGTTAGAAGGTATACTTACGTATTTTTTAACGTGTCCAGAAGAAATTAAATACACAGGGTGAATACCAACATATCTATTTGCTAAAAGGTATGGTGTAGAGCCATAAGGAAGGCCATCTATGACCCAGCTAAATTCTACTATTTTTGATACCAAATAATACTGGAAAACCAAGATGATACCTTTCTGAAATCAAGAGTCTTTCTCTTTTAAGAGGCATCAGGAGGATGCTTCTTTAAATGAGATAATTAAGATACTTATTAAGTCTTTACCATGTTCAGACCATTATACTTAGGGCCTTGAATAGAAGAGACAAAGATTCAGCTGGTAAAATGTTATGTTTTAAAGAAAGAATGAAGCCAAGTGCAGAGGCTGACGTCTATAGTCCCAATTATGTGGAAGGATCACCTGAGGCCAGGAATTCAAGACTGGGTAACAGAAAAGACCCCATTTCTAAAATATATATATATATATATATATATATATATATATTTTATTAGCTAATAACTATATATATTTTATTAGCTGGGCATAGGCACAGTGGTGCACTCTTATAGTCTCAGCTACTGGGAAAACTGAGATAGCAGCCCCCTTGAGCCCAGGAGCTCGAGGCTGCAGTGAACTATGATTGCGCCACTGCATCTAGGCTGGGCCATAGAGCAAGACTCCGTCAAAAGAAAGAAGAGAATCATGAAGACATGCACACCCATTTATGTATGTTAAAACACTGAACATCCCCAAATTGCATATTTAAAATTCAGGGAATATTTTTAAAGTTTTTCAAGGCTGACATTAAATATTACCTCCTTCATAAAGCACTTCTTGGTTTTTCCTACTAATCCCCAAACATGACTTCATTACTACAATAACTATTTATTACATATCTTCTTCATGGCAGACATTATGTTAGGACTGAGAATTTAAGGGTGAAAGGCTTTGTCTTTGTCCTCAGTGGCTTAGTCTTGTTGAGGCAATCAGCGTATGTACAAATAATGGCATTAGCTGCTGGGCATGGTGCCTCACACCTGTAATCCCAGCACTTTGGTAGACCAAGACAGAAGGATCACTTGAGCCCAGTAATTTGAGACCAGCCTGGGCAGGTTGGTGAGACCTTCTCTATTAAAAGTAAAATAGCCTCAGCTACTCATGAGGCTGAGGTAGGAGGATCTGTTAAGCCCAGGAGTTTGAGGTTGCAGTAATTGCACCACTGCACTCCAGCCTGAACAAAGCAAGATCTTATCTCTTAAAAAAAAATAGCATGCACAGAGACACACCACAAGCTGGTAATTAAAGATATGTAGAGTGTATGTGGAGGAGTATTATCACATGTTGTTAAAAATGTAAGCAGAGTTCAGCCCATTGAAAGTCTTAAATGCCTTGTTAAGAACAACAGACTTACATCTTGTGAATAATGAGAAGTGACTCGTTAGGCTACAGAATCTGTAACAAATGATGTGGTCATTGTTAGGACTTAAGATGTAGGGTTAAAGAGAATGGGATGTATTCCAGACATAGTTAAGGACTAATGTATTGATTAACTAAATGAAGGATGAGGTTAAAAGAGGAAATCAAAGATGACAAATTATTTGCACAAGTCACCCAGTGTATCATTGGTAGGGCAAGATTTTAGTTCAGGTTTTTCTAACTCTGAAGCTGAAGCTATCTTCCCTCTCTACCCTGTAACCTGGAAGCTGGTCAAAAATTGAGTTTATAGATATTAGCATCCTTTCATAAGACCAGCTATGTCTCATGACTTGCCACATAGGAGATAGTCCAAAAATAGCAATTAAATGAATGAATTGAATTTTAGAATATCAATTCGATCCTGCTGTGTTCTTTCAGTCTAAACTTTTCCTCTGACTCATGGCATTTGTACTGTGTTTTGTTTCCTTTAGTCAATTGCATGCATATTTTGGTTCCTCTTTTAAACTGCAAACTCTAAAATCGTGAACTGTATCTTAATAATTTTCTTATACTTACAGCATGTAACACAGTATATTTTCATGTAATAGATTCTTCCTAAACATACCTTTAATTAAGATCCTATTACTATATGGTTTAAGATTTGTATGACCTAGTCCCTTTAAAATTGGCTGAAAAATAACCATTATCTCATACTGAATTTAACAACTTTCTTCTGCACATATGACATGGTATGTTTATGATTCTTTCCCCGCTTTTGGCTTGGATACAGCATGAAATGGCCATTTTCAGTGAGACTGTATTGACCTCGTTGTGTTATAGAAGTGCCTGTCAGCATAATTTACAGATGTACAGAATCCAATTTATAGAATGCACTAAAGCCGTTGTCCAACTCCATTTGTAAGACAGCTTGCACAGCTCCTTAAACAAATAGTTTTTAGAGAGATGAGGGAACAACGGTGAAAGGTCCAGTTGACCCAATTAAGAAGTATTAGCAATGTAATCCATTGAAATTAATTAAATATTGAAGTCGGAAAGCAGAGACGTTCTATATGGATTTCTTGAATTCAGGCTTCTATCTCTGAAGCATATTTATCCGCTTTCTGTTTCTCTTTCACCTTGCCACTTTGTAACAAAAAAAGAAAAATATCTTCCCAAGGAACTCAACACATATGAATAATCTGGCCATAAATGGGAGGTACACCTAGAGAGTTTTCTTCATTTTTACCCGAAATGCCTCACACAACTAGTGCAAATAAGCTCACATACAGCATTTACTATGTACTAGATATTGGTACAAGTATGTTATATACTCCCTCAACTCATTCAATTCTCAAAACAACATCATGAAGTAAGTACTACTATTATCACCATTTTTTAGATGAGGAAACTGAGACACTTAGCAGGTAATTAACTTGCCCAAGGTCATAGCTAGTAAGTAGCAGAGTTTCTTGAACCTCAGTGGTGTATTAAACACCCAAACCCCTACTCCCAAGGTTGCAAGAGTACCACTTCCCTTTGCTTTGAATTAGTTCTGACCAAGCTGTGTTTTGATGACTAATTTGACTTCCCCAGTGTGTGCGTATGGGAAAAGAAGTGTATGGGTAGGAGACAGCAGGGTAACTTCCTGGTCCCATGCTAAATGAATATATTGTCTCTTGTGAGTTTGAATAATGGCTAATCAGCCACCTTGGAACTAATTTGTTTTTCATTTTTGAGACAGGGTCTCACTCTGTCCCCCAGGCTGGAGTGCAGTGGCATGACTATAGTTTACTGAGGCCTTGACATTCCAGGCTCTTGCAATCCTCCCACCTCAGCCTCCTGAGTAGCTGGGACTACAGGTGCATATCAACAAACCCAGCTAATTTTTGTATTTTTTGTAGATACAGGAATTTCACTGCATTGCGTAGGCTGGTCTTGAACTCCTGGCCTCAAGTGATCTTCCTATCTCTGCTTCCCAAAGTGCTGGAATTACAGGCCTTGCCCTGATTCTGTGTGGAAAATACCAACTTACTGGATTTACTAAATTGACAGCTCAAATGATGGTGCCAGCTTGTGAAATCCTGCCATTCGGCCTTCTGAAACTACATTTCTCTCTTTAATTTCCACTTTTACTTATTAGGTTTTAATATTTATTTTTTAATATGTGGAATGTATATAAGCAGTCTTCATCAAAAGACTTTAATTTATATCAGTATGTTTTATAACATGTTAATTTTTGTTGTCATGAATCATTGAAAGGAAATTTATAGATATCAGACTATGGAGCTACCCTTGATATTAATTGCCCATAGTCTGTTGACGCTGATATGCTTTTTGCTTACAATTTCCAAGAGCATATTGTCTTTATTTTTCAAGAGTCTTTGTTGGAAGGAAAAATACAAACCTTGAGCCATGAAAACTGTTATAGGATACTGTAACATGATACTGAATTTATTGGAAAGAAGGAGGAAATAAGAGCAACTAAGCAAACAAAAGATGATGTCTTAAGGCAAAACAATTGTACTTGGTGTGCACCCTGGGGAGCCCGGCACTCTGCCTAGGACAGGATGTACTATTGCTCTAGTCTCACTATCAAGGAATAAGCAACATGGGACCTATTTCTTAAACTCAGATCTCTGTAAATGCCAGCTAATGCTCGGTCGTAATGAAGCACATCACAACAACAACCTCTAAATTAAGGGTTAAAGGTACTTTTAGCAGAATTAGTGGAGCCACCATTACCTAAAGAAAGTTTAAATTCAAAAAATAAAATAAAATAGGATGACTTAGCTCCCTGCAAAAACACCATGGAAACTATAGTAATGTAGTCAGCAAACCTCTTTTTCCAAAGCAGATGTCGTTAGCCTATTTCCTATGGATAAGACCCACCCCTCAACCCTCAGATGGTTTCAGTCCTGGGAGGAGAATTTTGTGATGTTTAAGGATAAGCTAAGTTTCCACAAAGGTCAGGGAAATACACTTACTTATTATATATCTGCGACAAAAGATTTATGATGCGGTCGTAAAGACCAGGAATTAAACTTACTAACTTTGTCTGGGGGGATTAGGAAACAAAATGTTCAATGACTGAATGAATGAATGAGTGGAGAGATAGAAGGATGAATGAATTAAAGAAAGAATCAATGAATAAAATGCTGGTATCTTATTAGGTA